AAGGAAAGCGTTTCCTCAACCATCAAGTGTCCGATTAGGCCTGGGCGTTCGGATATTTGGGTCGGGTTCGGGTCGGATTTTTCGGGTTCGGGTTTTTCAGGTTTAGAAAACTAAAACCCGTTCGGGTATTTTAAAAATTCGGGTTCGGATCGGGTTCGGATCGGATATTTTGGGTTCGGATTCGGGTTTACCCGAAGTATCCAAATATTAAAAATTTTGTATCCGATTCTTTGCAAAGTATTGAAAAATACTCAAAAAACTATAAAACCCCAGTATTTATTACCCGAATCTAGCCAAAAGTAGCTAAAACACCCGAAAATATCTTAACATCCGAATAATTTAGGCACTTAGGTTATTACAAGTATAAATATTACTAATATATTATAACTATGTACTTATATTTCGGGTATGTTCGGGTACTTGTTCGGGTTAGGGTTCGGGTCGGGTTCGGGTTCGGGTTTTCGGGTTGTGAAGTTTATAACCCGTTCGGGTATTTTAAAACTTCGGGTTCGGGTTCGGATCGGATTTTTTGGGTCGGGTTCGGTTCGGTTCTTCGGGTTCGGATAATATGCCCAGGCCTATGTCCGATGCTCACAGCTACGAACTATACCGTCTGGTCCATCAGGATGCAGATTGTTCTTAGTGTGAATAAGGTCTGGGAGACCATCGAACCTGGTAGTGATGACCAAGACAAGAATATCATGGCTCGTGGACTCCTATTCCAATCAATACCAGAGGGTCTTACCTTGCAAGTCGGGAAACTTGACACATCTAAGAAAGTCTGGGATGCAATAAAATCAAGACATGTTGGAGCTGATAGGGTAAAAGATGCTAGGTTACAAACCTTAATGGCAGAATTTGAAAGAATGAAGATGAAAGAAAGTGAAAAGATTGATGATTTCGCAGGAAGACTCTCTGAACTAGCTACAAAATCTGCAGCCTTAGGAAATAACATCGAAGAAAAGAAACTTGTCAAGAAGTTTCTAAACAGTGTACCACGAAAACGATACATCCACATCATAGCCGCTCTAGAACAAGTACTTGACCTAAATACAACAACGTTTGAAGATATTATAGGAAGATTAAAAACATATGAAGAGAGAATCTGTGATGAGGAAGAACAGAGTGATGATCAAAGCAAACTCATGTATGCAAATCATGAGTCACAGCCATATAATGGAAATTTTAATGCAAACAGAGGTAGAGGACAAGGAGGTAGGTTCTACGGACGAGGAAGAGGAAGAGGTAGGACAGGGACTCAGAATCAAGGAGGATTTAGAGACAGATCAAAAGTTATATGCTATAGATGTGACAAGAATGGTCACTTTGCCTCAAATTGTCCCGAAAGACTGCTTAAACTTCAAGAAACACAAGAGAATGAAGAAGATGAAACTCAGATAGCAGAGTTAATGATGCATGAAGTTGTATATCTTAATGAAAGAAACGTAAAACCAAGTGATTTCAAGACTAATATGGATAATGACAAGACTTGGTACCTAGACAATGGAGCAAGCAATCATATGACAGGAAATCGAGGATATTTCTCAAAGATTGATGAATCTATTACAGGAAAAGTCAGATTCGGAGATGATTCTAAGATTGATATAAAGGGCAAAGGTTCAATACTTTTTGTAACAAAGAATGGAGAACGCAAAGTGTTAGCTGATGTCTATTATATTCCTGACCTAAGAAGCAACATTATCAGTCTTGGCCAAGCAACAGAGTCGGGATGTGATGTTATAATGAAAGAAAATTACTTGATGCTCTATGATAAAGATGGCCAACTACTAGTAAAAGCATTAAGATCAAAGAATCGACTCTACAAAGTTTTGATGGAAGCTGAGGTTCAGAATTGCTTACAAATTGAAAAAACCAGAGAATCAAGCACATGGCATGCTAGATTGGGTCATACTAACTTTGAAAATATGAAAATAATGATAAAGAAAGAGCTAGTCATCGGCTTACCAAACATTCAAGTTGAAAAAGAGATGTGTGCTTCTTGTTTTCTTGGAAAACAAACAAGGAAAACATTTCCACAAGCAACATCATTTCGTGCTTCATGTGTCTTAGAGCTTGTTCATGGAGACTTATGTGGACCAATAACACCACCTACTGCAGCACATAACAGGTATGTTTTTGTCTTAATTGATGATCACTCAAGGTATATGTGGTCATTTTTGCTCAAAGAAAAAGGAGAAAGCTTCAACAAATTCAAAAGTTTCAAGACCATTGTTGAACAAGAAACTGGACTGAACATAAAGACTCTAAGAACTGATAGAGGAGGTGAGTTCATGTCTCAAGAATTTCAAAATTTCTGTGAAACTTCTGGCATCAAGAGACACTTGACAGCGCCTTATTCTCCTCAACAAAACGGAGTGGTAGAGAGGAGAAACAGGACTCTTATGGAGATGACAAGAAGCATTTTAAAACATATGAGCATACCAAATTACTTGTGGGGAGAAGCAGTGAGACATGCTACCTATGTCATTAACAGAGTAGCAACAAGAACTTTAAGTAACAAGACTCCTTATGAAGCATTCAAGGGAAAGAAGCCAAACATAGAACATCTGCGAGTATTTGGCTGCACTGCGTTTGCAAAAGTAGAGTCTAATAATCTAAAGAAGCTTGATGACAGGTCCAGAACGTTGGTATATCTAGGAACAGAACCAGGCTCAAAGGCCTATAGACTATTGGATCCAACAAAACGCAAAATAGTTGTAAGCAGAGATGTAGTTTTTGATGAATCCAAGGGATGGAAATGGAATAACCTTGAAGAAACTGATGAAAACTCTGGAACATTCAACATTACTTTTGGAGAATTCGGAAACAATGGCATCAGAAATGTTGAAAATGAACCAAAAGAAACAGAGGAATATGAAAAACAGGATAGTGATGAAGAGCATGTTGAGACAGAAGCTCCAGAAAGATCTGAAACTGAAACTGAGCAGAATCAAGAACAATCACAACCAAAACTTAGAAGATCAGAAAGACAAACAAAGCAGCCTGGCTACTTACAAGATTATCTTCTTTTGGCTGAACTTGAAACAGAAAGACTTCTGTTAACTCTAAATGAAGAACCATGGAACTTTGATGAAGCAAAAGAACTAAAGGAATGGAGAGATGCATGTCAAGAAGAAATCTCATCCATAAATAAGAACAAAACATGGGATCTAGTTTCTCTTCCTGCAGACTCTAAGGCAATTGGCCTAAAATGGGTGTTTAAAATCAAAAGAAATTCTGATGGTAGCATTAATAAGTACAAGGCAAGACTAGTGGCTAAAGGATATGTTCAGAAACATGGTATAGACTTTGATGAAGTATTTGCACCAGTAGCCCGCATTGAAACGATTAGGTTTATCATTGCTTTAGCTGCATCAAAAGGTTGGGAAATTCACCATCTAGATGTAAAGACAGCATTTCTTCATGGGGAATTAAAAGAAACTGTGTATGTGACACAACCTGAAGGATATGTGATCAATGGTGAAGAGAACAAAGTATATAAGCTAAACAAAGCTTTATATGGACTGAAGCAAGCCCCAAGGGCATGGAACAACAAGCTGAATCAGATTCTTATGGAGTTAAAATTTGTGAAATGTTCTAAAGAACCATCACTATATCGGAAAGAAGAGAATAAGCAAGCTCTTGTCGTGGCAGTCTATGTTGATGATCTCTTGGTAACAGGTTCTAGCTTGGATATAATTTTCGAGTTTAAAAGAAGGATGGCCACAAAATTTGAGATGAGTGATTTGGGAAAACTTACTTACTATCTTGGTATAGAAGTAATACAACATGAAGCAGGAATTATGCTAAAACAAGAGAGATATGCACTGAAAATCTTAAGTGAAACCAGAATGGAGGAATGTAATGCAGTTCATACACCAATGGTTGCAAATCTGAAGTTAAATAAAGCATTAGAAGAAAGGAGCATAGATGAAAAGGAGTATAGAAGAAATATCGGATGCTTAAGATATTTACTTCATACAAGACCTGATCTCTCGTTCAGCGTAGGAGTGTTAAGTAGATATATGCATGATCCTAAAGAATCACATGGAGCTGCATTGAAGCAGATTCTAAGGTATCTACAAGGAACAAAGTCTTATGGTCTTTCGTTTGGCCGAATGGATAAAATCGAGTTAGTAGGATTTAGTGACAGCAGTCACAATGTTGATGAGGATGATGGAAGAAGCACAACAGGCCATATCTTTTATCTAAATGATTGTCCAATTACTTGGTGTTCTCAAAAACAAGAAACAGTGGCTCTGTCATCTTGTGAAGCAGAGTTTATGGCTGCAACAGAAGCTGCTAAACAGGCTATTTGGTTACAGGAACTTCTAGGAGAAATCATTGAGGAATCTTGTGAAAAGGTGTTGATCTTAATCGACAACAAGTCGGCTATAGCACTCACAAGAAATCCTGTTTTCCATGGACGCAGTAAACACATCCATAAGAGGTATCACTTCATTAGAGAATGCATTGCAAATGAACAAGTTGAAGTAGATCATGTTTCAGGGGATATACAAAAGGCTGACATTTTAACAAAAGCTTTAGGAAGAATCAAGTTTAAAGAGATGAGGGATCTTGTAGGGGTTCAAGACATATCACTAGAGGTTCTCAAGCTTAAAGGGGTGAATGTTGAAGTAAGCTTGAGTTAGAAGCTTATGGTTAAGAAGTTAACTAGAGTTAGAAGTTAACTTGAGTTGAAAGGTTAAAGGGTTTAGGAGATATCTACAATCCAAATCATATCTTGTATAAGTCGGTTTATAAACATGTCGGTTTTAAACTAGGGTTGATATTATGTGTATATATATGAGATGCCAAGATGTGGTATTCTATATGAGTTGAGAGTTTGAGAGATTGTGTGAGACCTTTGTTTTGAGTAAGTTTCAAAGGTAATAAGAAAAGTTGTTCTTATAAACACAAGTCTAAAGAGTTTTACTTAGGGTTCTTAATCAATATTGACTGCCACTTCTTCGAGTTAAACGGCTGACCATAATTCCGACAAGACCACACCGGAGATGCGAGATCGGAGATGAAGACAGTCGCCGGAGTCTTTATTGCTGAAGCAGGATCAGAGAAACATGGGGTCTCCATCCAGAGAGTAACATCGCCGTGCGCCGTCGACGACTCCACCGGACATGGCGCATCTGATGGTCCAAGAGAGTCTCTTGCCATCAACGAAGTCCGGTGTGAGGTTTCTTCTGGGGAGATCGAATCAGATCCAGATCGGGAAGTGGAAAGTTGAGCGATGAGTGATGATTTGGTCATTTGGCTTGCATCGCTAGAAGCTGGCGGCTTTGGCGTAGATCGAGCGAACAGAGAGTGAGACGGGAGGGCAAACGCCGGACCCCATCGCCTTCCTCCGTCGCTGGAGATTGAGTCGCCGTTGGAAGCCTTTGAGGGAGATAAGGTTCGTGAGGGTTCCAAGAGAAAAAACAAAGCCAAAAACAGAAAAATCACAAAGAGAGAACAGAGGAAGCAGAGCGGAGCGACGAGGTCCCGACGCCGGCGAGTTTCACCTCCGCCGGCGCCGAAAAAGATGGTCGAGAAGGGCTTCTCGATAACTGTGCCTGGGAGGTTTTTTTGTTAATGTGGATTTTTCCTATTTTAACATAAATTATTTCTCTTGTGCGTGGAGTCTAAATTTTCATTTTAGATACCTAATAAAATATTGTGTGCACAACCTATTATTCGTTATTTCCAAAATTTCTTGGAAAATCAAATCCTATACTATTATTTGGGAAGTACATCCTATAAGCTATGTTGCATGGAAACGGAAACAGAAACGCGGAAACGAAACATTTCGGAAACGGAATACGGGTTTTTTCTAAAGTTAGAGAATGGAAACGTTTTGGAAACGTATATACACATATTATATATATAACACCAACCATAAAAGAATTTAAATGAAAATATGTTTTAAACAACACAAATCCAAAACATAAACTATTAAATAGTTGATCTAAAATTCCAAAAAATTAAGATTAAAAGGCTCAAGTTTAAATATTTAGACCAACATTTTCATTCTCATTTTCATTAGTTCCATCAAAGATTATATAAAACTGTCTCCAAATCTGGTTCGTAGAAAAAAAGATTTTAAAACTCGAGTCTCCCAAAATTATTACTTATATGTATTATAAATCTTAATATTTATATGCTATTTATTTATTAAGTTTCCAAAGTAAAAAAAAAAGATTTGTCATGTTTCCAAAACGGAAACGTAAGTTTCCATCGTGTTTCCAAACATAAATTTTTAAGAAACGCGTTTCCGTGACGTTTTTTGGTGTTTCCGAGAGTTTCCGTTTTTGAAACGTTTCGGAAACGGGAAACGGACCTCGGAGAGAGTTTCTGAAAGGTTTTCATTATTCTATTAATCATCAAATCTACTATAAGATCTTTAATATGTGGAAACTAATAATTGTGGTTTCCTCTCATATATGAATAAATACTGCGAACACGATAATCACAATACTTTCCAAAACCAATTTCGTTAAGATTTTATTATGATATTAATTATACAAAATCTACGCTAATAACTAACATTATTCGCTGGAAAATAATTCGTTTCCGATTGTTATGGTAACTAATTATTTATTATAAAGATACGAAATCCCACATTTATAGGGGGATATTCTATAAAGTATTTTACATTTATCCAAAAATTTGATAAAATCTTTGCAAACTTATTTCCCAAAACTTTTAGAAAATATTAAATTCTTTATTTTAAAATTAGACCTAACGACACTACTCTACACCTCTCCTCTATATAAATCGATCAAGTTACTCTTTTATCATCGACCTTATACAAAGCGAAATAAAAAATGATTTAGTTTAGTGTGGATACTAACATTTTAGTTTTTTTTTTTTTTTTCATTCCAAAGCAAAATAAAAATGATTTTGTCAATTTAATGCTCAAGCTTTGGTTAGTGTATTGTATAAGCAACCTTAAATATGATGATATCTTATTTTTTTTATATATTCATATGGATTTGACGTAATGGTCAAAGCCAAGAAAGCTATCGACAAATTCCCAAATTACAAAAACAAATTCTCTTGCGCCTTATATAGGATGTTTAATAGAAATATAAATAAATGTTTTATCATAATTTTTGTTTATGATTTCATATTTTTAGTGTTTTATAGAAATTTTATACAAATTTTATACATAATATCATGTTTATAATGTTTTATATTAGAAACGTTTAAACCGCATAAAAATCGTTTAGGTCCCGATTAGGCGTTTTAGGCGTTAGGCACTATGTCACCGCCCGCTTAGCGCCTAACGCTTTTTTTTTGAACATCGCCAAATAGTAATAAAAATAAAACATTATGTGGCATCACTTTTATACTATACTATTATATTATATTAGTACTTATTTTTCAAACAAAATATATAATTTGGTTCATATAAAATATTTAATCCCGGGCTGTATAGCACGGGCATGATCTAGTTTTCAAATATTTAGGAGTGTCAAACCTTATTTAACCCATCTCATCATATAATCTTAACATGTTGTATGTCTTAAGGATCAACCTATTATATAATACATTATATTTAACCCGCCATCTGTTATATATATTTTAAATATATATTTTTAGAAAATCAAATTAAAGTATTTATAATTTTTTCTTTTCTTTTTAATCTATTAAATATTTATGATATTCTATAAAATATTAAATTAAACTATTTTAAATGTTAAAAATTAAAATATTTAAATTTTTCATTGTAGTATATAAGATTATGAATTTTTTTAAAAAAGATTTAGATGAAATTATAAATAAATATTCAAATAGTTATAATTAGGTCTGGGCACAAATATGGATCCACATAGAACCGAACCGAACCGAACCGAAATTGATGGGTATGGTTCGGTTCTGGTTCTAGTAAAAATATCGATTGGATCTTGAATTTCAGATCCATGGGTATTGGTTCGGTTCGGGTAAGAACCGAGATCCAAATGGGTACCCGAAAAATATAATCTATGTACCTATATCTATATATCCCAAAGCCCAAATCCATACAAACCTAAACCTAAACCCAAGCCCAACAACCCACTATATATATTTCATAAACCTAAAGAGAAGAAGAAGCAGAAAATTGTAACAGATTTAAACTTCGGGTTATTTTGGTGTCTTAAAAACTTGTGTTTTTCGGTATCTTTGAAACTTTGGGTGTCTTTTGAGTTTTGACATAACACTTTCCAAGTTTCTAATATTTTTTGGATTTGTAATGGTATGCTTACTAATATGTGATTGCATACTTACCTAATTGCATTTGAATATTGTATTATGATTGTTTTGTTTTTTCGTTTCCAAAAATACCCGAAATAATTTGGTTCCAAAATTTATTACCCGAACCGAACCGAACCGTAGAGGAACCGAACCGGAACCGAACCGATTTTGATTTGGTTCCAATATGGTTCCTAAATTTCAGAACCAAAATACTAAGAACCGAATGGTTCGGTTCTAGAACCGAACCATTTACCCAAACGCCCAGGCCTAGTTATAATGATCATAACTCATTTTATCATATAATACATTGTATTTAACCCGCCACATATTATAAATATTAGAGTATATTTAATTTTCAACTCTTTGATTTAAGTATTGATGATATTATTTAAAAATATCAACTTAAACGAACTTTGAATGTTGCAAATTAAAATATTTAAAAGTTTATTGTAGTACATAAAATTATATATTTCCAAAAAATAAATATATGAAATTGAATATAAATATTCAAATTCTGATCCGTTACTCAGTTGGAATTTGTGTTGAAATTAATTTTTGTTTTAAAAGAATTATATTACCCAAGTCTGAATTTTTGACCCGTTAAATTTTTTTCTTCATAGATTGAACAATTTATATTAGTTTTAAAAAATTCAAATATTGGCATATGCGGAAAAATTTACTTTTTTTTATTATATGGATGATATGATGATTATTTGTTTTATAAAAATATAATCATATAAATATGAGAGGTGAAGTATAATGATTAATAACAAAATCATATGGTAAGTTAGATATCAAATCTTTTATGTTTATTTTGATTGGTCATTCTTTTTTAAAATTAATAATAAATTTTCGTTTTTATAATTAAATTAAATTAATTAAATTGCATAAATTAGTATTTGACTTGTTTATCCTTAATGAACTGATTTAATTTACTCTTTAAATTTTTATCTCTAATGGCATTCCATTGTAATAACTTACAAAAATCAAGGTTAGTTCCAAAATGTACTCCCCAAATAATAGTATAGGATATATATAATTAAAAAATTAAAATTTGTTGAATATTATGTTAATTACAATTAGATTTATGAGCGAAAAAAATTTACTAAAAATAAAATATAAATTTCATTCATTAGAAATCATATCTTAATAGCCAAATTTTTTTTCAAATCTATTACTACTATTTTTATAATCAAACAACACTTTAATTAATAAAAAATAAAAATACTTTTATTTTTTTTGTTGCTGAAAAATTAAATTTATGAATCCACAAAAACAATTCTATAAAAGATCTTAAACAAAAAAGCAATACAACTTTTTAAACCTTATTGGAATCCTCTAACCTGAAATCATCTTTAGAGAAAGCCTCGTATTCTAAGAGATTCACGATAGCATAAAGAGAACACTCGATTACACACCGATTTCTGGATGATACGAAGGAGGTGGCTTACCAGATGGGAAAGATGTTTGTGCCTTCATTCATTACTCTCTCGCCAAACATAATAAATTATTGTTTGGAGAGTCAAGCTAGCAAAGCAAAATGTAGAGACAATGTGGAATATACAACCGACTGTTCTGACCTGGTGAAGATGGTGTCTTCCCCAACCGAATGGCCGGCCTTTTCAGTGTATATGGAGGAATTTCAGAGTGACAAAGAAGAATTCTCTAACTTCTATCTATCTTTAATTTCCCGCTGTACTAATGTAAAAGTGGATAATCTGGCACGAAAAGTTCATACAGAACCGTTTCATATTACTTTTGTAAACAACATTCCTCAGGAATGAATCATTTGAGCTCTATTTAATTTCGGATGACAGAAAAAAAAAAAAAAAAAGTGGAATATACTTTTGTTTCATCTAAATTAAATTCATAACAGAAAAAATATTCACAAATTATATATTATTGATGAATCATATAAACGAGTTTGTTTCAGAGATTTTTCGTCTTGTAAAGTTTACTCTAGGATAATGTCTCATGCAAAACAACAAACATATGTGAGACGCTAATTTATTCCTTCATATTCATCTATATTTTCCATATATGTTTTGATCATCTAACTTCTTTAAATATCATTGCTCTTTTGGGCGTTATATTTTTGAAGTTTCATATATGTACTGTAAGTTAGGAAAAACTATAAATTTATTGAATATTATATTGAACACAATTAGATTTAAATACCAAAGAAAAAGAGTTTCACTAAAAAAAGAAGAAGAAAAGTTCACTCATTAGAAGTCGTATCATAATAGCCAAAATACTTTCAGAATCTACTATCTTTATAATCGAACAATCCTTATTTTAGTTTTGGAAAAAAAAAAATAGATTTTAATATGGAGCCATATATTTTTATTCAAATAATCAGCATTAGTTAACTTTCCTAATTTTAACAATTAAATTGTTAATTAATATAACCTTAATATATTTTGAGGGCTTTTTTTTTGCTATACACTTGAGTATTTTCAGCTATCGCCTTGTCTTTATTTACCTGCAACCAGACCATTGAATCATAAGATTATAGATGACATCATCAAAATACATTTCTGGTCGGATTTTTGATACAAAATCCAGGATAAAATATTTGCTCTCCAGAATTATTTGCATCTCGTCTAATTATCCATATCTTTCTTCGTTTATCTCTTAACAGCGTGGCAACACACTTTAATTTGTTTGGGCCTTCATGCATAGATTCAAACTCCTTAAGATTTTTCACATGCATATAAGTTAAGAGATTCGCCTAAATTAGAAGAGCAGATTTATCGCATATAATTTGTAAACCAAAATATTTATCCATTTAAACAAGTTATAATAACAATAAAACAATGACTTGTAATATTATCATAAGAAATTATAACATAGAACAAGTTTTAAATGAGCACATCTCTAGTTTCAAAGGATTTCATTGTAATATTATCATAAGGTTCGAAGAACGCCTTGAGATTCAGGCGATTGCAGATGATATAACTAGTAAATATGTTCCTCCGCATGTCAACATATTTTATTGTCTAGGCCGAATTACCCTTACTTGTTTTTTAGTACAAGTAGCTACGGGATTTGCTATGACTTTTTATTACCGTCCAATCGTTACTAAAGCTTTTGCTTCTGTTCAATATATAATGACTGAAGCTAACTTTGGTTGGTTAATCCGATCAGTTCATCGATGGTCGGCAAGTATGATGGTCCTAATGATGATCCTGCACGTATTTCGTGTAAACCTCACCGGTGGTTTTAAAAAACCTCACAAATTAACTTGGGCCTCCATGAGAATTAAAACCATTCAAATTCATGTATCTTAAGGAAATAAAAGATCAAATTAAATGATTAAGGCTTTCTGATTAAAAAGATTGTTTAAATAAAAAAAACGTTATTTTTTTTTATCTCAAGTATTTTTGAATAACACAGACATGCTTGTACATTTTGTTACTGGGTTACTTGATACAGGTTTTCTTCCAGGAGTCGAATCTGGTGTTGAAGGTAATTCTCACTGTTTCTTCACCACTTTGTTCTACTGTACATATGTTGTATTATATCTCTCAAATGTATTTTTTGAATAACACAGGCATGCTTGTTGGTGGCAAAAGAAGGATTACAGTTCCTCCACTTATGGGGTATATGTTTCCTGAGTCTTACTAGTTGATCATTTTGCACATTTGTTTAACCTCATGGTGAGAATGGTAATATTCTTGTCTGATTCACACAGGTATGGCAAGGGCGGTGATGGTAAACTGGTTCCTCCTAATGCTTGGCTAGTTTTTGAAGTCGAACTGCTTGATGTTAGGTAAAAAAACCTGCTCCATTTAGATATTAAAATCTATGTGGCCTGCCAAAGATTGAAATTTTCTTTATAACTATTGAATCTTTTGAAAATGATGGTGTTTCCTCGTGATATCTTCTCCTGTTATAACTAGTCATTTATTAGATTTTGTCTATTTATGTGCCTCATAGTGCTGGAAGCTCAATGATTGAAGCCACTTTTGAAAATGATGGTGTTTCCTCGTGATAATGGTCTCACCATTGAAGTGTTGGTCAAGGGTAAACCGGATGGTAAGATAGCTGTTCCAGGAAAATGGATTTGTGCTCTCTACACTGGAAAGCTTCAGAAGAATGGGGAGATTTTCGATTCCAAATTCAGCAAAAGACCAAAAACGTTCTGCCTAGGTTAGTATTACATTCTGTGAATTACATTCTGCGACAGGGTACTTGATACTTGTCCGTTTCTTTCAATGTGCAGGAGGTGATCATAAACTTGGTTTAAACATTTACTTGACTTTGAAAATGATAAAATGTAAACAAGTTTTTTTTTTCTATATGTGAAATTTTAAATAACAGTTGTTTACTAACTCAAAAGTATTCATATCATAAAAATATTATGATTGTCATTATTATTATTTTTAATCTATATAATTATTTGATAGATACAACTATATCAATCGTTAGGCTATAAACCCCCGATTCATTATTTTACTACTTTATTATAAATCTCTTATTATTGTAAATAAAAAATCATTAAGGGCAAGGATAAATGCAGTAACACTTCTTAGAATTAGTAGTGCAAATACCGTCTCCTTGCCTCTTCTTCACACACATAGACTTACACTCTGCAGCAACACAGTTGGATTGATTTAGAATCTCGTGACATTGTTTTGGTTTTCCTAGCCCCTCATTTGCCACCACTCCTGTTACAATAATATGTATGAAACATAAAATATTATATTATGTATTTAAAATGGAGATATATGTTTTGAGAAAATAGTAACAAAATATCTAAAACATCAACTCTTTGTCCAAGCGACCGACAATATAGGCATTCAGATTATATGTGTTTAGATCCATTAAATATTCTTGTAAACAACATAAGATTGTTACTAAAGCATAATAACTATGATAATAATTTGAAATTATCATATAAATTTACACCAGAACTATTTTTTAGGTTTAGTACAAAATAATTTAACTCAATTTTCTGGTTAGCTCTAATATGGATTATATATAGGCTGAATTCGATATTATTGAAAACATAGTTTAATTGATATTTCAAAGGGTTAATATGACACTCTTTCTTCTAGAAAATTGTGTATAATATATTAAGATGACAATATATATAAATACAAACCTAGCACAAGAATGGTGAAGATAATCATAACAATTAACGAGAGTTGAATGGGTTTCTTCATCATGGATGATATAAATGAATTGACTGTTTTAAAACTTAAAAAGAATGAATAAAATGAGTTTTTTTTTGTTCAACCTTAACAAAATGTAGTGATATTTATAATCAGTTAGATATATCTATTTTAAGGTATATATCTGAATTTAAGGATCTAGTTTGACCTAAATATTTCTTATATGATAGGTTAGGGCTTTAAACTCGCGCGTGATTTCTCCTTCACTACAAATACTTTTCAATTAAATTAAAAAAACACACACACACATATATATATGAATAGAGTACCTACCATCGGAAAAGGAAAAAAACAATACATTTCGGTATTTAAAAAGAGGAAAATGTACTTTTGAAGGAAACTAAAAATGATTATATATGTATATATATACATACATGTATATATATATCATAAAAGGTATAAATATGGAAATAAGTTTTCATAATTTTTATTCATTTCTTACTTATATCCATTTTTTTTAATTTACACGGGTAGCATAAATAAAGATTTCATAAAATGAATCTAAATCATAAATGCAATATTTTTTCTTTCTTTTATAAGAAAAAATTATGATGATTGACGAATAATTCTTCTATAACATTAAATATATACAAAAATTGAACTTTTTTCTCTAATGTTCTTTTCTATACTTTTCTAGGAGGAATATGTCAAATCAATGAGGACAGTAAAAGAATTTGAGGTCATGAAAACTCAAATTTGGACAAAAACACAACTAATCTCGGTTTGGTAAGCGCAAACTAGAGTATTAATATTTCATTAAGAGTAAAGGAGTAGATGAGATTAAAAGAGAGCATAGAGATTGGTTTGTCAAGCTTGGAGAGCTCTAGAGATATGTCTCCCTACGATGATTAGTTTCTCCTGGTTAACGAAAGTGCTCCAACCGGTGGTTAAAACATTCATTTGGACCATAAAATATGTGATAGACCATCAAAAACGACGGTACAATTTACAACTGACTGTTTTAATTTGATAAAAATGGCGTATACACCAGAAAAGAAACCTGCATTCTCTTATGTTTATAGGAATTCGCATGAAGCAAAAAGTTATTTTCTTATTTTTCTTTCTCACTTATACCACCCAGTTTGAATTTAAAACGGACAAATCAACGCAAAATTCTTGACTATATTTGCATGATATTAACTTTGAAAACATTATTTCTCTGGTTTGGATTTCTAAACTTTTTCAGTTAGGCATGCGACTTGTAATCGAACTAAAAATATTCAATTGAACCGTAACTTTCAGAATTTTGTTTAGATTCGGTTAAGAAAGTTGGACCAGTTGGCAAATTTGATATTAAATATCAGTAATCAAACATAACCTAATTTGTTATGGATAATTTCGGTGGAAGTTTTGAAAAACTGAAAAAATAACAAACCATTTAATCCGTGATTACCGAATAGGCGGATGTAAACTCAATTATTAAAATATATTGACAAAAAAAACTTATTTTACATTTACTAGTCCTACAATTTTACTGTTTTAATTAAGAAATCTAAAGATTTACTGTTTCAAAAATATAATTCAAATTCAAATTTAAAATTAAAGTTCATATTCAAATTCAAATTCAAATTAAATTTCTTTATTTAATTCAAATAATGTAATAATTTAGTATTATCATTTTTACTAAATTAAATTTGTTTATTTAATTCAAATTGAATATAGTAAAAATGATAATACTAAATTATTACATTATTTATCAACAAGTATTACATAAATAAATCAAACTTTGGATTATCCTAACGAGTTGAAGTAAAAACAAAACAGATCACACGGCAGTCGGATTGGTACTGAAAAATAAGAGAGCAAAATAAGGGAATTTTGTTTTCTTTGCTACAAAAAGCTAAGCCATTTTGTTTTCTTTTTCGCTAATTTATTTCTTCTTCACATCTATTCTCCATATATGTTTTGACCATTTGACCATTTGTCATTATCTTTTTTAGTCTCTTATAGAGTCTTATAGAGTCATATATACATATAAATATATATATTAAAAAAGTGTAATTTTTAATATTATATTAATTACACTTAGCTTTAAGAACGAAAAAAATTCTCTAAAAATAAAATATAAATTCATTAGAAATCGTATCTTAATAGCCAAAATTTGTTTACAAATCTATACTACTATTTTTATTATCGAACAACACTTTAATTAATTGAAATTGAATATACTTTTGTTTTTTTTTGTTGCTAAAATGTTAAATTTATTAATCCACAAAAAGTATTATAAAAGATCTTAAACAAAAAAAAATACAACTTTTTAAACCTTATTGGAATCCTCTAACCTGAAATCATCTTTGGAGAAAGCCTCGTATTCTAAGAGATTCGTGATAGTGTAAAGAGACCACTCGATTGCACACCAATTTCTCGATGATACGAATGAGGTGGCTTACCGGATGGGACAGATGTTTGTGCCTTCATTCATTACTTTGTCGCCAAACATAATAAAATGTTGTTTGGAGAGTCAAGCAAAGCAAAATGTAGACAATGTGGAATATACTTTTTTTTTCATCTGAATTAAATTCATAACAGAAAAATTATTCACAAATTATATATTATTGATGAATCATATAAACGAGTTTGTTTCAGAAATTTTTCATCTTGTAAAGTTTACTACTCTAGGGTAATGTCTCAGGCAAAACAACAAACATATGTAAGTCGCTCATTTATTTCTTCTTCTTCATCTCTATTTTCCATATATGTTTTGACCAATTTAACTTCTTCAAATATCATTGCCCTTTTGATCGTTATATTTTTTTAAGTCTCATATACTTAAATCATATATATAAATTAGCAAAAACTATTAATTTATTGAATATAATATTAAATACAATTGGATTTAAATACCAAAACAAGAAGTTTCACTAAAACAAAGAAGAAAGTTCACTCATTAGAAGTAGTATCATAATAGCCAAAATACTTTCAAAATCTACTACTACTATCTTTATAATCGAACAATATTTATTTTAATTTTGGAAATAAAAAATTTATATCTTAATATGGAGCCATATCTTTTTATTTAAATAATCAGCATTAGTTAACTTTCCTAATTTTAACAATTAAATTGTTAATTAATATAAATTGAATATATTGTTCAGGTTTTTTTACTATATACTCGAGTATTTTCAGCTATCACATTGTCTTTATTTACCTGCAAGCAGACCATTGAATCCTAAGATTATAGATGACATCATCAAAATACATTTCTGCTCGGGTTTTTGATACAAAAACCAGGATCATATGTTTTGCTCTCCAGAGTTGTTTGCATCCTCGTCTGATTATCCATATCTTTCTCCGTATGTTTCTTAACAGCTTGGCCACACACTTTAATTTGTTTGGGCCTTCATGCATAGATTCAAACTCTTCTAAGATTTTTCACATGCATATAAGTTAAGAGATTCGCCTAAGTGAAGAGCAGATTTATCGCATATAAATTGTAAACCAAAATATTTATCCACTTAAACAAGTTATAATAACAATAAAACAATGACTTGTGATATTATCATACGAAATTATAACATGGAACAAGTTTTAAATCAGCACATCTCTAGCTTCAAAGGATTTCATTGAATATCACTCAATTAAACCTCCATGAGAGTTAAAACCATTTTAAATTCATGTATCTTAAGGAAATAAAAGAACAAATTAAATGATTAAGGTTTTCTGATTAAAAAGATTGTTTAAATTTTGGACCAAATCAATTATGTATACAATAGAAAAACATTTACTTGACTTTGAAAATGATAAAATGTAGGGAGACTCACAAAAATGCCCCTTTTTCAATACCCCTTTTCAAAAATGCCCCTTTTAGCTGTCCATTTTTAAAAATACCCCTTTTTATGTACAAAATGACGAAATTACCCTTCTTTTAATAAAATATATCACAAATATATAAGGAAATATAATAAAATTAGGTCCACAAAATACAAAATATTTTTTAGCGGGAAAAGTGATCCCGCAATTTTTCCCTCCAAAACACTTGTAAAAACTTGTAAAACCTTTAAAATACCTTGTAAAAATTTTTCCCGCCAAAAAAATTTTCCCGCCAAAAAAATTTTTTTGCGGGAAAAGTGATTCCGCAATTTTTTTGGCGTTAATTTTTTGGTGGGAAAATTTATGGCGGGAAAAATTTACAAGGTATTTTAAAGGTTTTTTACAAGGTATTTATAAGGTTTTACAATGTATTTTAAAAGGTTTTACAACGTATTTATAAGGTATTTATAAGATATTATAAGATTTTACAAGCTATTTTATAATGTTTTACAAGTTATAAGGTTTTACAAGGTTTTTATAAGGTTTTATAAGTTATAAATACCTTATAAAACCTTATAAGTACCTTGTAAAACCTTTTAAAATACATTGTAAAACCTTACAAAACACTTGTAAATACTCTGTAAAAAACCTTTAAAATACCTTGTAAATTTTTCCCGCCAAAAATTTTCCCGCCAAAAAAATTGCGGAATCACTTTTCCCGCAAAAAAAATTTTTTGGCGGGAAAATTTTTTACGGGAAAATTTTACAAGGTATTTTAAAGGTTTTTACAAGTGTTTTGGCGGGAAAATTGCGAGATCACTTTTCACGCCAAAAAATATTTTGTATTTTGTGGACCTAATTTTGTTTCAAATAAGGGTAAAATGGTCATTAAAAATTAAAAGAGGGCAAACTTAAAAATGGACTCTCAAAGGGGGCATTTTTGAAAAGGGGTATTGAAAAAGGGGCATTTTTAACAATTTCTCTAAAATGTAAACGAGTTTTTTTTTTTATATGAATTGTTTTCTTTTTTATAGGTAAAATGTAAAATAACAGTTGTTTACTCACTCAAAAGTATTCATATCATAAAAATATTATGATTGTCATTATTATTATTTTTAATCTATATAATTATTTGATAGAGACAACTATATCAATCGTTAGGCTATAAACCCCCAATTCATTATTTTACTACTTAATTATAAATCTCTTATTATTGTAAATAAAAAATCGTTAAGGGCAATGATAATAGCAGTAACACTTCTTAGAAGTAGTGCAAACACCGGCTCCTTTCCCCCTCTTCTTCACACACATAGAGTCACACTCTGCAGCAACACAGTTGGATTGCTTTAGAATCTCATGACATTGTTTTGGTTTTCCTAGCCCCTCATTTGCCACCACTCCTGTTACAGTAATATGTATGAAACATAAAATATTATATTGTGTATTTAAAATGGAAATATACTTTTTGAGCATATACTAATAAAATGTCTAAAACGTCAACTCTTTGTCCAAGTGGCCGGCAAAATAGGCATTCAGATTGTATATGTGTTTAGATCCATTAAATATTCTTGTAAACAACACAAGATTGTTACTAAAGCATAATAACTATAGTAATAATTTGAAAATACCATATAAATTTACACCACAACTATTTTTTAGGTTTAGTACAAAATAGTTTAACTCAATTTTTTTGTTAGGTCAAATATGGATTATATATAGGCTGAATTCGATATTATTGAAAACATAGTTTAATTGATATTTCAAAGAGTTAATATGACATTCTTTGTTATAGAAAATTGTTTATAATATATTAAAATGACAATAAATATAAATACATACCTAGCACAAGAATGGTGAAGATAATCATAACAGTGAACGAGAGTTGAATGGGTTTCTTCATCATGGATGATATAAATGATTTACTGTTTTTAAACTTAAAAAGAATGAATAAAATGAGTTTTTGTTTTGTTTTTTTTTGTTTAACCTTAACAAAATGTGGTGATATTTATAATCAGTTAGATGAATCTCTTATTCAAATATATCTATTTTAAGCTATATATCTGAATTTAAGGATCTAGTTCGACCTAAATATTTCTTATATGATAGGTTAGAGCTTTAAACTCGCTCGCGATTTCTCCTTCACTACAAATATTTTTCAATTAAATTAAAACAACACACACACACATATATATATAATTTGATGAATACATGTATATGAATAGAGTACCTACCATCGGAAAAGAAAAAAACAATACATTTTGGTATTTAAAAAGAGGAAAATGTACTTTTGAAGGAAACTAAAAATGACTATATATATATATCATAAAAGTATAAAATCTGGAAATAATTTTTCATAATTTTTATGCATTTCTTACTTATATCAATTTTATTTTATTTTTATTTTATTTACACCGGTAGCATAAATGAAGATTTTATAAAATTAATCTAAATCATAAATGCAGTATTTTCTCTTTCTTTACAAGAAAAAATTATCATGATTGACGAATAATTCTTCTATAACATTAAATAAATCGCATAAATATTTTTCTCTAATTTCTTTATCTAACATCGATTAAATGAAAAGAAAAAATTCAATTTTTGTATATATTTGAACTTTTTCTCTAGTTTTTTTTTAATACTTATCTAGGAGAAATATGTCAAATCAATGGAGACAGTAAAAGAATTTGAGGTCATGAAAACTCAAATTTGAGTTATATATATATATATATATATATATATATATATATATATATATATATATATATATTTAGCCCTAAATTTTGACAACTCCAAACGTCTTCAGAAACATTCTCTCACACTAATAGGCTAGATCACAAACCCTAAGGTGCAACACATATAGTCTTTTAAACCTTTCTTCTTGGACTAGTAGAAGTCCTCTTCTAGACTAATATGTAACAGATGTAGGACAAGGACTATTTCAGTTCTGATTTACTGCAGAGGAATATATCAAAAATGTCTTGGAAAATAGACCTTACCATTTTCATTCCAAATTCTCTTTTTGGATCAAAATGTAAGGTATCCATGTTCACATATTGATTGAAGATACCATTCTGAGCACATGAAACCATATTGGTCATTTCGAAGTACTAGACATCAATACATCATGCCAGAATGCGAGTTCATGTGGATGGGCTTTAATCTCTCATCATAACATCTACCGTTTAGAATTTTTCAACGAAGATGAAAAAATATGTAACGCCCCGACCGTCCCTACCAGTAGGCCCCACGTCCTCTCTCGGACCCATGGGCCCACCCCTGTCCGACGGCCGGTCCGTTACGTCCGGGAGGCTTTAAAGACTTGTTTACCGACCCTACAAATCACCACATGATCTTTCTTTGTGTTTTGTCCTCACTCACACAGTTCCGACAATCACTTCCCGGAACGTCATCCATCCTGAAACTACTTCAGCCCAAGCACGCTTAACTATGGAGTTCTCTCAGGACGTTTGACCGAAAAAATAAGTGCACTTTGGTGACATAGGTGGCCAAATCAATTCTTTTAAACCTCTCCGCATGCACCATATTCTTGAAACCGGGGTGTTACAAGATAGTCTCCTTAGTATATTAAAAGCTCAAGAAACATTTCAACCATATACTAGAAAATTAGCTCTTTATGCCATAAAACTACATACAAATTGTATATAAATTATTGTAAAATCTATGTATAACATTGTGTCTAACCCTATAATTTTCTCAGCAATCATATTTACGTGAGATATTTTTTAAAAGATTCATATCATTCGTCAGTGTCAAGTTATATACCTTTTTGGGCTTAGAACCTCGTGTTTATGAATAGCGGAGCTAGAAATTGTTGTTGTAAGGATAAAAAAAATTAATATAAAATAATATACATTATATAAAAATAATGTTATTAATTTTGTTTAGAAATAATCTACCAATAAGAAAAAATGAAATAGTTACCTGAAATCAACCAAAATGAAGGAATAAATGGACAAATTTTATTCCATGTAGTTAAATTAATTTTGTATGGAGATCAAAAACAATAAAACATTAGGGTCATTATAATTATTTTTAATAAAGTATAGTTGGTTTATTTTACCCTTAAATTTTCACCGTGTTATGTATTTCAAGTTTGAATTAGTAAACAAATTAAGAAAAAAAATTACTAGTTCTGAGACGAAGAGGGCACAAGCACCAAAACGGCGGCAGAAATGGGACCGCACGTGAGATGGACCTAGACAATGTCATGTGAGGGACCCAGTGGCTAATGTTGTGTTCTTTTTTTTTTCAATTTCGAACTCATGACTTTTCCTTTGACTTTTTCGACAACTTCACCGAGACAGTCAAGTTTTTGCTGTCATGTTTTCCTCATTTCAGATCCCCAAATCCTTTCTTTAATTTTTTTTCTAATTATCTTCCCCAAATTTCTCTAATTATGTTGTCTCGTCAAATTGAACTGTAAAATAAACGATTAAAAGAAGAGGATAATAGATCTAAAAGCCATAAAGATTTGGTAAATATGTATGAACTTTTTTTTTTTATTTTTTTATTTTAAATATGTATGAACTTATATAAGAGATTCGATAACAATTTACGTTTATAGATTAAATATATGAGTAAATAGATTCCAAGTAACCTATTAGTAAAAGTAAAACATATCCCATGAAACATTGTATATACTATAATCATTTTCTGTTTCTGTCGATTTTTAAAGATTCAATTTCTTGTTCTCAGCAGAAAGTTGTATAAACGTACGTGTGTGTGAATAAAATATTGTGGTTAATTTTCAAAGCAACTAACTTTAAGTACGATTGAAGGTATCTTAAACCAAATATTTAATAGATCTTCCTCTGCTATTCATTGAACTAATTAAATATGGATGAGTGAAGGAGGAGACCAAATTATGAAATTCATGTAGATCCGATGGACAGTAAATATTATTTATTTTCTTGCAGGAAAATTCCGTTAAAATATCTGAGTGAAATTTCTTGGTGAATATTCTCTTACAAGAAATATATAAAAACAATAATATAAAAATAACCAACAGTTTAGGGAAGCTTTTGAAACAATAATTTAGCTAACAGTAGCTATCACAAAAAAAAGTTAGCTAACAAGACAAAATAATTTCCACTTTTATCTTACAGAAAAATTAGCTAAACAAGCTACAAAACCCAATTTAATAGTAGAAAAATAATTTCCATTAAAGAGAATGCTACAGACTTTTGTTACTTAGTTCATAGTTTAACACTCAAAATGTTAAATTATGTAAGCAGGTATATATACTATTCATAGAAGTGAACAATTTTTCAGACAATTTACTCATAATACAGCCTTCAAACAAATTTAGCTTTTGTTAGGTATTCCAAAATGATATGGTAGGTTCTTGGATTATCATATACAACTTACAAACCAAACAAATAAATCCAAATACCAATTAGAGGAATTTCTTAAAACTTGGGAATAGTCTGTTACACACAAAAGACCAACAAAACGGATTTAAAATATGAAAAAAAGACAGGAAATAAAATTAGGTTCAAAACAAAGGCCACTGCTTATTCTTCAATGCTTCAAGCGAAGATGCTGAGCGGACCGGTCTTTGTAGAAGCGTCTATACCATTTTCACCAGTCCTGATTCCGGTTATCCACGTCCTACGCAAAACCGGAAACACCAAACCGAAATCGGTATTCCAATCGGTACATAAACAAAGCTGAAATATGCTTGAGATAGACTTACTTTCTCACGTTGTCGCCACCAATATCCATCTTGATTGTTAGCCGCTTTGTTGATTTCATGAAATCACTGCATTTTAAACCGGTAAATCAATCGAATGATGACTAGCCGTTAATTGAAATAATTCTTTGAGATGTTTACCTGAAAGGTTCGTCTCCAATACGTTTGATAACACCATTTGCGTCCCGGTACACAACATGAGTCAACAAATCCGACCTCTCTTCTATATGAAACATCTCGGCCAATTTCCGGTACAATTCTTGGTACGAGCCAATAACCGAGAGATCGAGTGTGCGTCCAACATCCTCAGATTCCATGAAAACTTTGCAATGACCAGTTTCAAGTCCCTGAAAACCGTAATTCCATGTTAACCCACGAGCAGCTGAACCTTTCTCCTCCTGCGCTTCCGCCTCTTCTTCCAAAGACCGTTTTCGGTTCATGACTTGCTGTTCGGTTAAAATAGGTTGACCGAACAACAAGAACTGATGAGTCTTAACCGAACCACCAGACTTCTTCTTGTCCTGAACCATAGCAGGATTCCCCATCGTTAAAGAGCACGAAATGTTATTACTATTCTCTGCATCCCTAGCCTGACGAGACACAATATTATCGTAATGATGCCTCGGGTTAAAACCGGATAGAAACATCGCCGGAGATTGTAACTTGTTACCGGAGTAACTACTAAGATTGAGATCAGACAACAAAGACGGAGACGGTGATCCGAAGAGTTGTTGAGCTTGCCTGGCTCCCTGTATCCCTGCAGGAGCATTATTGTTGTCGTTTGACAGATAACACATGGATTCGCCACCGCCATTGCTGGCGAATCCCGGGGAGAAAATCGGGAATTTGGTACCGTCGAATGGGAATTCAAAAGGCTGCGGTATCCGAATCTTCTTCCTTGGAGAGAAAGGAGATAAATGTATTGCAGGCATGTTCGATACCAATTCGACTAACCACGGACTAACCCGCTTAACATTTTGCAACAAATCCGGTTCGTCCCACGCTACCTATATCAACCAAATATAACCACAACATTAAGCGTTTTCTAACGTTTTACAAAATGCTAATATTATTAAAGGAAGAGACTTTGAGGTGACTAAACCTGAAGGAGACGCCATGGTGAATTAGGCCAACGAATTGGATCAGCGACTTGAACGGCGGAGACAGTACCCATAAACCAACTGATTCTTGAAGAATCCTCTGTTTCAAACGCCATTTTAAAACGCATACCACTACACCATCTAATCCTCATTGCTGATCTCACATCAGCTGCTTTAACGCAAAACTCCGGTGTACTAGCGCGTGGATAGTAAACAACCTCAAACGCTTGTCCACACGCTGCACGCGCCACCGCTTCCGCCACTGCTTCCACTCTAACCCTCCCTCCAGCCGCCGCGTTTCCGTCGTTTCCGTTGCGTTTCATCATCATCAGCTTCGATGTTGTTGATGTTTCATCGTCACGGAGGAAACCGGAGAATCCAGGGTAAGGATTGTCGGATCCTAACCCGGTAGATCCGAGACCACCGCGTTTAGCGCGACGGATTCCGACGCAGAGGTCACCGGATTCAGAACGGAGGAAAACGATTGAGTCTCCGGCGATTAGTTTCTTCTGGTTAACGAAAGTGCTCCAACCGGTGGTTAAGAGATGACGGCGAGGCGTTCCTCTGTAAATATGCCGGAATTTCCAAGTCTCGCCGTGAATATCTTTAGCAATCACAGTTTGTACCGGTGGCTCCGCCGTGTAATCAAGCCGCGGGAAAATCGTCTCAGCGCAATAACGAGGAACAGAGAAACCACCGCCGTTATTAGCGTCAGACTGCGTTAACGTTTTAGCAAAAGACGCCGGTTTCTCGTTACCGTTACCGTTAACGTTAACGTCAGCAGAAGGAGGAGTCATACCCAAAACGGCGTCGTTCTCTAGATCCAAGTCGTTTCCCGGTAGTGGCAAAAGCGTAATTTTAGCGAAAACTTCGTCTGTTTCAGCGTCGGCGAGGAACTTCACAGAGACGACACGACAGAGGATAAGCGGTGGAACGCGCGGCGCGTGGAAATCAGGAGGCGCGTGAGCATGCTCTGTGTGGCCTTGAGCGAAGTAAAAAACCGTTGAATTCACTGAAGGGATTTGAACCATTGATCCAGCACAAGCATGCCATAGTTGTGGATCCAAGCTTTTCTCTTGCTCCATCTCAAAATTCACTCGAAGAAGACGAAGTTATATAATCCTAAACTCTTCACTTAGAAGAAAGATCAATCCTTTATTAAGTTTCAAGACATGAACATCATCAAGTTCTTGTCTTGAGCAGAGAATACGAAGAAGAAGAAGAAAGAGAGAGACAAGAACCGTTTCAGGGGAAATAGAGAAAGCGAAGTGAAAGAGATAGAGAGAGAGAGATTAGAGTTTAAATTTGCAGAGGAAACAGTAAAGTTTGGTCTTTTATGATTTGGTTTCACTACAAAAGAGGTATAATAGTGAAGGTGAAAAAAGCTTTAATGGCCGATCAGATCGTAGAAGAAGAAGGAAGAGAGAGAGGCTATAATCAAGTACGGACAAGACTATTATAATAATAATAATAAACACTTTTTTTTTTCTCTTTAGTAATGATGTATACAGAAACAAGAACCAAACAAACCAGAGAGATTATCTCAAACACAAACTTTATAACTCTTTTTATTTTTATTTTTAATTTTAATATACAAAATATAAATAAATTTTGTTTTTTGTTTGATAAAAAAAACCTGCAACTAACTTGTTTGTTTCAGTAATCAGGTCGAAGAACAAAGTGAGTTTTTTTTATAAATAAAATTAGCAATTTATCGTATCACGAGCCGCGATAATTTGAGTCACCAACAAATTTTTAATTTTTTACTCGAAAATTCAGAAACCATTCTTGACCAGATACGAACCTAACCACGGTTAAATCTTTTTCCTTATCATGTAAGTGTTTTTTTTTTTTTAACTTTCTGCTTTTCAGTGTTTTCACTTTGACTTTGTTTTTTGCCCGTTAGTGAAAGATGGGTTCCATTACACGATTGTGGTAAAACAAAAAATAGTTAAAACCATTGGTAAAATAAATGATGTTAAAATTATATGCAAAATAAACAGTATATATTTCACTACACTGGGGTAAAAACTAAGATAGGTTAAACTCATGCAAATGTTTCTTTTTTTTTAAATGAAAATAAATAGTTGCATAATATTCCCTCATTTCACAATTAATGTTCTTAATCTTATGACACATTTCACATATAATAACAAAATATTAAACTTTAATTTTATCTCTAAAAGTAAATTGACTGTTGATCGTTCTTCTCCATAAATTGTACTTATTATATTTAAGGTTAAATTATAGAAATTCTCCTTCGTACGACATTTATTTTGATACTAAGGAGATGTATTGGAGAAAGAATTCAGAGTGATTTGAGTTTTTATGAGTTTTGAGATGATTTTGGTGAATTATGAAATTTGTTATCAAAAATCTTCCAAATCCTACCTAAAACTATGGGATTTGGATGTTTGAATTTTTAACTAAGATATTCTCTAAAATTCCACCCAAAATCACTCAAGCCATTTCAAATCCACAACTTAAAATATTTTCAATAACAGTGGATTTGATTGTAGAATTTAAAATCATTAATCCAATAACATTTAATTTTTAAAAGTTTTTAGAATTCATGTTTAAATAACATAGGATTTACTATTTAGCATTTTAATACAAATCATTTTAAATCTTTGATTGAATACACCCTTTTAAGAGAGTATCAAATAATACAGGAAATGGTATTTTTTTTGGGAAAACGAATTATGATCCACCACTTTGAAGAAATTTTAGGGAAGAAAAACAAAAGAATTATTACAAGTTGTGGTAATGACGTCATAAAATTGGGGATAAAACGTACGTGGGAGAAGGAGAAGGGGGTTGACCCGAGAGATGAAAACGCGGCTGTTAAAAAGGGATTTTGGAGTTTGAGTGAGTTCGTTGTAGTTTTGTACTCGTCGATTGTTTTGTCGGGTCAATATTACCCAATTATATCCTGACACGACATACCCAACTCATCCGTATATTGGTCCTTTTTTAAAAAAAAAATCTGCAACAATATTTAGTTATTTACCATCAAAATATACTTAATTACTCAAACAATTTTAAACTTTGAAATGGTCCATATTTGTTGTGGTTTTTGCTTCTTTTTTAAAAATAATTCAAATGTTTTTGTCGCATGTTTCGAAATTAGTTTCCTAAAATCTAGAAATTTTTTTTTTTTTATTCACTTAGATCTTGTTTTTTTTTGAAACTTGATTTTCCTTTTAGGTTGTCTATTTTATGTTGGAAAATACATATTTTTAAACCTCACAGTATATTCGCAACCATATTAGTCAAAGAACAACTTTACATGCATTTTCAGTTATGTTTTTCTATTTTATCTTCAAAAATGTTTTAAGTTAAAAAAATGTACGAAATCTCTTTTTGACTACACGAACAATTATTTATATTTGACAAAATTTAGCTAGAATATTCTAATATTGAAAGTATTATCTTCTAAAAATTTTAAAGTCACGTTTAACTAGATAAAAATTCTAAAAATTTAGCTGATCCATTGGTTTAATATTAAACTATACAAAAACAACTTAAGTAAGTATTTACTTCTTTTGACTTTATATGAAACGAAGTAACCAATTCCTTTTGCCGACTTGTGTTTGAAGAGATAAATCACATGACTATTCTAACATAAAATGTAAATTAAATATTATGTAAGTTCGTTTTCAAAGAATGAGCAAACAAGGTTGAAAAATTAGGAGCAAAACAAAAAATAGTTAATAGAGAATAAATGGACCAGGAGAGAAGAAGAAAACAAAAGGATCAATTAATGCATGACTTCTGAAAAAACATAAAATCATCGACAAGACACACAGTTTCTTTGTCTTTCCAGTGTATTTCAGCCATATACTTCTTTCATCTTATCTCGAATACACACACTGATATACATGTAAATGTGTATATAAAATGATATATAATTAATATGTGGACTTGACATGGCTAGAAAGAAGCAACACAAAATTAGAAAGTGAATAATGTGTTGGTGGGTTGTCTTGCATTATGATTTATGAATGGTCCATTGGTCCTATGACTCCTACCTATCCTATCTTCAACTTGTTTTTTTCTTTATGGGTTAAAAATATCCCAAACTCTATTACATTAGCTTTCTTGATCTATGCATATTTTTTAAGTTGTCTATGTAGAAAGAAAAGTTTTAATTTTAGCCCCATAAACAAATTACACATACCAATAGTGACCTCTTGTATTTTCAATGCAGAATTTTGATTAAAATTTCATTTTAACCCTCTTTTTTTTTAATTTATTAATAAGAGATATAATTTTATTTAGTATATCTATTAAAGATACAGTAGAACTTTTAATAATTTTTTTAATATATGTGAAAAAATGTAGAATAACATTTTTATGAAACAGAGGGAGTAATAGTTTTCTCTTTAGCATTCAAAATTTTTTTCTATACCCAAACTTGCAGAGAAATTCGCGTGTTTTAAGAATGATAAATACAAAATATGATGACGATAGTTGATTTAAATAAGAATTTTAATCATGAATGGTTCGACTTGTACATTTATCCGAGATGATACACTAGGCACTGAATCATAAAGAAATACACACTTATATATGACCCATTTATCACCAAAATAAACAGCTAGTGGGCTAATACAAACTGTTGACATTTGCAAATTTCCCAACATGAACTTGGTTACTCTGTTTTTGGCTATATTGATTTTATGTTTGGACTTTTGAGCTCTAGACTACACAAAATAAAACGTTAAGTTAAGTGGGTCTAGATCAACAGTTTCGTTAACGTTTATTTTCCATTAAATTTTTTTTTTACTTATATTTATTAAAAAAACACACAATGCTCATCTACAGAAAATATACTGACATATATGAATATTCCTCTATAAATTTTGTTATAGGATTAAAACTATTTCACAGAATTTTTATAAAATATATGTTTTATAAAACACTTTGATTATTTACATATGATCTTTTATGTTAATATTCTGAGAGTAGACATTCATAAATGATTACAAACGTAAGAATATTAACAATGTAAAAGAAAAACCAGCAATGTAATTTATGAATACTAAAGGTAGAGCTGCAAAGCAAGTTGTCCTACCACAAGATTGTTGGATTAAAAAAGAACACAATAATATAAGATTTGTGTAGCATTCAAAAAATTATTTGTCAACCAACTAATTAGAAATCTGTCTAGAAAATTGTTTCCATAGTTAGAAATTATTATTATTATTTTAGTTCGAAATAAATTTGCATGCTAGATTTTTTCCCCAACAATTTGAACACTATAATAGCAAGATATTTTATAATATTGAATATACTTGATATAATATGGTGGATCCGCCGGATCCGGATACACTTAATTTTGGCGGATATCTGGATCCGTCACAGGGCTACAATATGGTACTTAGAAAAAAATATAAATCCACAATTTCAAATTAGTATTTTGAGTTCTATTCATGTTAGAATTGCTATATATACCCTCATAATGCATACGTCTCAAAGCTAGTAAACCCAAAGTCATTTGTATATTTCAAAAAATTTAATCATGTATGATCAATTTTCAATCCTAACAAGTCTTTATTTAGAGAGAGAGAGAGAGATGGTTGAAAGACATGAGATGTGACAAAAGGGAAGATGGGTGTAGTTAAGTTGTTGTGTCACTGTCCGCCAAACCTTCCAAATCAAACAGAAGCGTCATTGCTCAGACAACCAAACCAAACCACCCAAACGTCTCTTTCCATGTTTCACCGTCAACTGCTTAAATCCACCATTAACTTCTTTTTTAAAAAATATATTTTCCAACCCCCACAATTCCTTTATTGGTCAAAAAACCCCATAAGAAACAAATGTTTATGTTTGTAAAAAAATTGGGATATTGAAAAGCCATCCCCTAAATGATTAATTTTTGTGTTTTATGTTTTTGCTAATGAAAACAAGAGACATATCAAATCAAAGAATTTAAACTATAGCTTGCTTATGAAAAGATAATACGAACTGCATGTGCATACTAGTGTCATGATTTTTTTTTATATATTTAATTTAGGTAAATGCTCTATACAAAATTAAATATATAATCAAAGTGCCAACCATTTTTTTCCAAATATTTTATATACTGTTGATTAGATAATAAATAGAAAAAAGAGAGAAATAGTTTGATCTTGTCCCGAGTGAAACTATG